AAGGATATCACAGATCTTTCTATTGAACGGACTATTGAGATTTCATGTGTGGAATTGGATCAGTTTGTCGTCTTATGTGTATACAGGCCCCCCTCTGCTAATTTTAACGAGAATTAATTATGGAAGATAGTTTAAAGCGGATTTTTCCAACCAAAAAAACCTAGTAATATGTGGAGATTTCAATGTAAACTTGTTGGAAAACTGTTCTATTTCTGTAAGACTCATTAATTTATTTCAAAGTTTTAACTTGATTAATCTTTTTTTAGAACCAACCCGCATTACTGCCTCCTCTTCTACTTGTATTGATAACATCTTTTGTAACACAGACGCAGTGTCTAAATCAATAATAAATTGCTTAAGATCCATAGTGGCCAATTGGCTTCTTTTAGTGGTAAAATGAGCAAGAAGGCTCGTAAGAAAGAACTGAAATAAAGGTGGATCAATGATTATTATTAATAAGCCTAATGTACAATTTAAAGAGCATAAGGATATCACAGATCTTTCTATTGAACGGACTATTGAGATTTCATGCGTGGAATTGGATCAGTTTGTCATCTTATGTGCATACAGGCCCCCCTCTATTAACGATTACAACGAGTTTGAATTAATCATGACAGATAGTTTAAAACAGATTTTACAAACTAAAAAACTGTATTAGTCTGTGGAGATTTCAATGTACACCTGTTGGAAAACTGCTCTACTTCTGTAAGACTCATTAATTTATTTAAAAGTTTTAACTTGGTCAATATTTTCTTGGAACCAACTCGCATCACTGCATCATCGTCTACTTGTATTGACAACATTTTTTGCAACACGAACGCAGTACCTAAATCAATAATAAATTGCTTAAGATCAGACCATAGTGGCCAATTGGCTTCTTTTAATTGTAAAATGAGCAAGAAGGTAGACCAATTTCTCTGCAGACCGATTACCACAGAACGAATCATTAGATTTCAAAATAATATCGGCAATAGTTTAAATTCTCTACCCCATATACCGGAGGTTCCAAATACTTTATATAGCACTTTATTTGGTTTAATTAAAAATGAATTTGATAATATATTTAAATCGAAAACATTAACTTTCCATAGAGAGTCTAAATTCAACGACTGGGCAACAGTAGGTATTCATAAGAGTAGGACTCGTTTGTATGAGCTATATGCTGTGAAAACTTATAATACTAATTCCAATTTCATAGAATATGTTAGAATTTATTCAAAAATATTTAAAAAAGTATGTGTAGCTGCTAAGGTTAAGTTTCACAGCGATAAAATTAGACAATCGAAAAATAAATCTAAAACTGCTTGGAGTATAATAAATAAAGAGTCAGGCAGGGTTAAATAACATGATAGAAATATAGTTCTAGAATTAGACTGCAAACTTCTTAAATCAAAAGATGAGGTGGTCCAAGCTTTTGAATCATTATTTTTTTCGGGAATCGCCGTGAACACTACAAAATCATTAAATTCCTGTCCATCTCAAGCCATTGATCTCCTAAAGAAAAATGTTAAAGTTTGTGGCAATGTATTTAATTTTCATCGTGTTAATTCAAAAGACATCATTAAAGCTTTTAAATGTATGCACATTAAAGAAACTGAATGTCCCTGGGGCATATCGACCAAAGTTGTAGACTCGGTAATTTATCTAGTTTCCCCATATCTAGCTGATGCATTCAATAGGTTTGTTGACAAAGGTATTTTTCATTCTTGATTTGATGAAATCTAGTAAGGTTATTATTCCTTTATTCAAAAGCGGTAGGAAAGTTGATCCTAGTAACTATAGGCCCATTTCAATTCTACCAACTTTAAGTAAAATATTCGAAAAGGTTATGTATCTTTGATGCTTGGGAAAGGTCCCAGAACTCTATTGGGGTTTTCTGTGGTTTCTCACAGGCATTTGATTGCGTGGATCACATTACTCTTATGAGGAAGCTGGAATATTGTGGAGTAAGTGGCAAGGCGTTGGAACTTGTCTCGTCATATCTTAACGGTAGAATTCAGAAAGTAGATATAAATGGAATGACTTCTTTGGGTTCTCCGGTAAAAATGGGTGTTCCGCAGGGCTCAATACCGCTCTTATCTCTCATTTATATTGATGATCTACCGTCCTTGTCCTTGGTTAAGGACCTTTGCGAAATAGTGTTGTTTGCTGACGACACATCCTTGATTTTTAAAACAGACAGACATGATGTTAGCTATGACAATATCAATGATGCCCTTTCAAAGGTAGTTTGTTGGTTTCATATTAACAATTTATTGCTCAATGCCAAGAAGACAAATTGTGTTAAATTTGAATTACCTAATCTAAAATCGACAAGCCAATCATAGAAATAAATGCAGAAAAGTTAGACTTTGTTAATAAAGCCGTCTTTTCGGGAGTGACCTTAGACAGTAAACTCCAATGGTTTCCACATATCCTTGGCCAGCAGATTAAGCTCTGCTGCATGCGCAGTCCATAGAATACGTGAAGTTACTGATGTTGCTACCGCTAGTCTAGTTTACTTTAGTTACTTCCATAGTATAATGTCCTACGGGCTTCTCATGTGGGGTAAAGTGGTAGATATACAAACCATATTTGTGTTGCAAAAATGAGCGATTCGTTCTATGTACCGTCTAGGCTCTCGGGTTTCTCTCCGTAAAAAGTTTAAGGAGGTTGGTATCATGACTGTGGCCTCAAAGTACATTCACTCAAATATTTTGTATGACTGTAAAAATATATATAATAACTTGGTTGAGAAAGAAGATATCCATAATATTAACCTTAGAACTAAGTCCAAACTCATAGTACCACGTTTTCGTTTAACTAAGGTAAACGATTTTTTTATGGGGAACTGTATACGTTTTTACAATAATATATTAAGTTTACCATTTCCTAAGTTTAAAACTTACATTAAAAGTGTTTTAATTGAAAAGTCATATTATAAAATTGTAGACTATGTGTTAGATAAAGATGTCTGGAAAGGCATCGCGAGTCTAGATTCCACACAAATATGATTCAAAATGTATTTTATAGCGTTTAAGTTTATTTGAAAAGAGCCATCCCTAGAGTTTCTTGATCGTTCTTCTCAGGGAGGTCAGGCAGCGTAATGAACGAGCAGTAGCTTTGAAACTGTCGTTTTAAAGTGTAAATATTGTAGTTATGGAATAAATAATTATTTGACTTTGACTTAGTAGCTCGTACCAGTTTATTTTGCTATTTATTATCTGAAAACACCGAATCCTTTTTACGGATACAAATATCGTATGAAGCCGAAACGGATGGTGAATTTTACTATTTTACTCGCTTAACCAATTTTATTGTACCTAATAATTAATTAGTTGGTTCAAATATATCTGAATAAATAAAATCGTAATCTTTACAATCTGTTGATTAAATATTTACGTGTTTTGAAACAGTTTTCGACAAGCTTTCATTGTTAAAGACCTACTGTTTTGTTTTAGCTTGAAGGAATGTGAAGGTTAAGGAACGAGAAACTGCCTATACCCTCGTTAGCAGCAAACAAAGCAAACATAGACACGTTGTGTGTAGTATTTCTTACATTACCCTGAACAGCTGAAAGTAGGTCAGCGTGTCCCTGGTTGCCCTGAGCTTATCATCATTAAAATTCAGTGGAACTACGGTCTCAACGCGGGGTGATGCGTTCCGTTCCGTGCTACAGCCTCTGATTACAAGGGCAGCCATTCTCGGCGAACGTATTACTTATTTCTCTCGTTACTATAGTGTTGCGTCATGGAAAAATGTCTATTTTGGAAAATCCTATTTTCCAGAAAATAAATATTTTATCGGATATTTTTGTAATATTTTTCCTATAACCACATTTGACGTTGCCACCTGTCAAGACTTGAAGTTACTGAACGAAAACGATGGAGCCATTTTAAAATTTTTTCGCTATTGTCCAATCATTTTAAATCTTATAATTCACGCTAAATAAAACTTCAAAACATTTCAAAAGATGTTTCTAAGCGGAGAACATAATAATAATAATAATAATAATAGTAATAATAATCATTTATTTCAAACAAAGTTCATAGCTGGTTAGTAACAATTATCTTAAAACTATGTTAGAACAAATTATATTTAACATTATAAATGGCAACATTAGAGTGCATATGACACGCATTCCAGTGACTTACTATGGGGCAATCTACCCGCTCCAAAATGGTATTTAGGAGACCGCTGCCGCTATCCCGCACGCGCTTCATCACCGAGGCTACTCGTTTGCGTAGGATAGTCTGAAAACTATCCACACGCGCCTCGGCAAACATACCAGTATTTTTAGTACATACCACATAATATGAACCTTACATTTTTCAATTTTTTTTTAATTTTAATGAAATTTTTCGGAAAATTATATAAACTAGTACTGTGATTTTTTCATCAACTAGTGAATTTAGTCATTGTGTGGGCAGGGAAATGCTGGTAGTTTTGTTTCTTGTGACGAAAAGTAACCGAGAATATTATGCTCAGTCATGTTCGACAATCGCAAACAATCGCAAACTATGTTTATATAGGTACTTTTATATGTTTTATATTTACTTTTAAAGTATACTTTATTATGTTCAAGGGTGCATCACTGGCTGGCTGGCACTTTAACCGAAACATTTGCGTCCCATTTTCGAGCACTTGTATGTTGTAGGTACTGAGAAGCTCTTGAGGCATGT